ATATTGTTTACCTGCATATGAAGACTTGGAGGGACCTACAAGCACAATATTCTAAAGTCTTGTCCACCTTGAATCATTTCTCTATGCTTATAATTTGATATCCATACAGATAATTAGTTGGAGACTAGTAATTATCTACACTTCACTAGAAATTTACAGAAACCATAGGCCAAGATAAGGTAATGCAAACCTTGATTGTCAGCTACTCAGTTCAACTGCAAATAAAGGCCAGGCCTTGGGGCGCCTCCTCCCATCACAGGTTTGAGTCTCAAAAGGGCCACCGCAGATTTTCAAAGCTCCATGGGATTAGTCGAGGTGCACATAAGCTGGCCCGGGGTTACCAAAAGAAAAGGATTAGGTACTGCACCAATTTTATAGGAAAATATGGTAGCAGTTGAAAGATTGTCGGCATATACAGTTACTAGAACCTATAAATCTTACAAACACACATACTTTGTACAACAAACAAAATATCATATACCTCTAGTTGCTTTGAAAATGGGACTTTCTCACCTTTCACCCCCTGTAAATCCAACGATCAGTATAACTGCCAGTGGGCGCGATATGGCGCAAGACACATCTTCGCAGTTATGAAATGGCCCATAGTGTTTCTGTAACGCGTGGCTCACGCCATGGTGTCTTGAGGCACGCCATGGCGTGCGTTTCTTGTAACACGTGATTTTTTTCCAAAAGAATTTTTTTTTTATCTTTTGTGTTTTTTACACAACTTTAGATTTTACATTTTTATAGATTTAACTAATCACATTACTCACATTTTCACAAATGCATAAACGTTACAAGCTCACGGTTAAAAATGAAGTTGTAAAATTACCTTTCTAAGTTCTATTTTAAATATTTAATCAAAAACCTATTTTATAATAATAATCTATATGATTTTTTCTTCGTACATTTTTTTTTAATATCATTATCTGATTAGATAATATATAAAAACATATATATATATATATATATATATATAATTCTATATATGACATACATATTTGCCGCCTTCTGTCCAGTCTTGAAAAACGACGTGTCCTATCCGTGGCGTGCAAGGCTTGGCCTCACCCCCATGCAACGCATTTTTCAACCTTGATAACTGCTCACTTTGAACTCTTTCAAAGAAACACCAGATCGTTGTCATCATCCTCTGTAATTTCCCACTAAATCTGAAGATTATAAACTGTATGTGTTAGTGGTTCCACATATTCTCGAACCATGCATCTTATTAACATCAAACACAACACAACTTAAATTTACTGATCAAATTCACTCAAAATAAGCATAATATAGCTGTAGCTATGTAAAATAGAGAAAACCTCTTTAAATTCATTTGAAGCCACATCTCTTCCAACGAATCCAGAGGGAACTTTGGTAATGACAGGAACTTTTGAGCCCAACTTTGCAATGATCTGCAACCCTTTGATTCATCAAATCAATGAATTATTTGAATCCAATAAGCAGACAGATCTACTACTCCCTCCATTAAAAAAAAGGTGCATTTGGACTATTTAAGAACTAGCAGTTTTAAGTGGAATCGCTATATAGATTGCGTCAATTCAAGTACTTCGCTACTAAATCTCCACGTCGTTAATCCTTTATCAATTTCTACACAAGTAATTTAACAAAAGCGTATCAACTGCGAAATGGAAAAGCAACCCTACTATGTACCTATTTTCGGTGAAGGAGTCTGTGAGACATCAACAGACAAGAAATGACATACGAGTTAGTTGGCCGCCTGGTGTAGCCGGACCGACAGAGGCGACGGAGAAAATGAGGATCAATTGGCGCAGACATAGCTTTATTCAACACTTCTTCCATGGCAACAACGACGATAATGGCGTGGAAAGAGCGAAAATCGTTGGATCATCATAATTTCGAGTACAAATATTATAGATATAGAGTCAAATGAAGAAGCCGGAAGTCCGGATATCATATTTTGAAGAAGATCTTCTCCGATGAAGTCAAAAATTCCTGTGATCCTCACGGCCGGTTCGTCGGAGACGACAACGGGAAAGGAGATGATTTATCTGAGCATCTCGATCGAAGTCACCACCACTTCAGCAGTCCTTCCTTTGAAGGGGAAAAATGTAAATTGATTTTCGTAAGTTACAAAAGTAGTCCCTAAACTAACTCTTAATTGGCAACTTTAGTCCTAAAACTAAAACATGTTATGTGGAAGACTTTTAAACTGTTTGGCAGTTGCTGAATGTTTTGCTGCTGAATAATTAAGCGGTCAAAATGATTAAGAAACTCTTATAGTGTAAAACAAAATATAATTGTTTGGTAATTGTTTACAATGAAATTAAGGCGTTGAATGGTTAACGTATTTTCAGAGGATTTTAGAACCATTAAGAGACATACATTTTTTTGCCAAACAAGATTCACCTCTTAGCGATTCAAATACCGACTCTTGATAAAATTATTAAGAGATAAACAAACAACCCAACCAGCTATATCACAACATAAATTCAGACACTGCAGCTATAGCTGAAAACAATTCAAACAAGAAAAAACTGTCAAATTTCTAAGAATGGCGGAAGAGTTAAAACACAAGAGAAAGAATGAAATACCAACAGCTACAACACACACTAAACCGAATCGAACCGAATCAAATCTCAAACTAATCGAATCGAATCAAATCAAATCTCAGACTACAAACGGATGGAATTTATCGATGATTCAAATATGAACAATCTTATTCCCAGTAGAATGGAAGTGTTTGTGGAGCTCCGTTATCAGGAGACCCATGGTGATGATGGTGATGGTGATGATGGTGAAGTCCCATCTGGATCATCTCGTTGCAATCGTTCCCATTAGGATCCATAATCGACTCCAAACCACCATAACTCGCACCTGGATCCAACGGGTTTGGTGTGGCCGGGAACGAGTTAGGTGGGTGCACCACATGGCTCAGGGTCGTACAAGATGTCTGTGACGGTGATGATGACAGAAGAGAGAGAGCACAGTCCGACTGCACCACCGGCTGCAACCGAGCAGGTGGCGGGTATCCGTCACAGAACAGTTTATCGTAGCTGCTATTCGCCTCAAAGTTAAGAACCGGCTGCTGACAAACTTTTGGAGGTGAGGTCTGGTGGTTGAGTTTAAGGTGCGAGCCACTGTTTTGAAAGAGGCTGAATTGTTGCTTCTCGGTTAGCTTTTTGGTGCCTGAAGATGATTCGGAAAAAGGGTTGTGTTTGTGGGCCAGGTTCGAGTGGTGGGCGGGGTACATGACGTCTTCTTCGGACTTGACCATGCCGGCCCACAATGGGTTCGTGAGCGTTGTGGTTTGATACACATGTGGACTCGAGAACTGCAGCATCGTCGTACCTAAAACATAACGAATCTAGCATCAATATCCAAACATACGGTAACATGAAGCTTTTTAGGCCATTTTAGGCAACCATAAGATAACTTATTCTTTGAGCTTATTGGAAAAGCCCCTTTGGCAACGTAGCTTTTGAAATGCTACGATTAAGAAGTTCCAAGGGTTTTTTTACCAATTATGCCCCTTCTATTATTCTAATTAATTTTTCAATATGTTCTTTTAGATCATTTCATGTTGTCATCTGGCTTATCTGCTAGTTTATATTATACATAACTAGTTTATCAGCTAACAGCTAGCTTATTAACCACATTTGGTTAGTTATAAGCTAGTTTTTGGAAACATTACTTCAAATAGCATTTTAATAAGCTCCAATGGATTTTTTCCACTTCTTTTTCCAATTATACCCCTTATATTTTTCCAATTAATTCATCAACATGTTCTTTTAGGTCATTTTACGTTGTCATCTACCTTATCGACTAGTTTTTACCAAACATAACCAGTTTATAAGCTAGTTTTAGAAAACACGACTAGTTGCTAGCCTTTTGAAACACTACTGTTTGAATAAGCTCCAGGTTCGTTTTCCTAATGATGCCCTTAATATTTTTCCAATTAAGTTTCCAAGACGTCCTTTTAGGTCATTTGACGTTGTCATCTGGCTTGTCAGCTAGTTTTTAGCTACCAAAGCTAGTTTATAAGTTATCTTATTTACCAACGGCTAACTTTTCAGCTAATCAGCTAGTTTGCCAAACATAGTCTTAATAGCTTCGAAGCTGACCTTGGTGACCAGCAAAAAGACTTGCAGCACGTGAGGTATCCGGCTGCGGCTTCCGTCTCCGGCGATTATGTCCATCAAGACGCTTTCTGCAACTCCGTTTTCCTTCATCGAACTCTTCTAGCGAATGAAACCTACAAAAAGTGGCAAATTTTGGTTCAATTTTTAACCTTTTTCTAGTTTAGACCGTAAAAATCACGATGATTCAAACAAAATGCTAAGCATTTACCAACATATGTTCAAAAATATCAGAACCGAAGAACAAAAGACTTAATTATTCAGCTAATGACTGCTATCTCGAATTCTTGATCAGGGAATCTCGAGGAACTTTATTTTTGAAGTATATAATATTTATATACGGCGAATAGAACAAATAAACTCACACACCCTCCTCATCTTTGGTGAGGTTTGAACCCTAGGAGGTCAAGGACTCACATACCGATAGGCCAAAGTCCCTTTGGTGAATATCAAGAAACTTGGATGAGACTAAAGTTGATCTTCAAAAGCAACTATGCTTAAGCCAATTATGGGTACCAAGATTCTTTGGCTGTGACGAACCATCTAAAGTTCTCGGCTCACAGGGTTTCGTTGTGAAAGTGTAGACCGTAAAAACCGAGGTGCTTCAAATAAAATGTCAGAAAGATTTGATCTGTTTGCCCTAAAAGAATCCCATCAAGATTTCTTGATTTGGAAAGTCCCAAGTGTTAAATAGTCCCAAAGACCATATCGGCTAGACTTTGACCATTTCCACTGTATATGTTGGAATCCCCTTCTTATCCTCCAGGGAAGTAACCTAATGGGGTTTCACATATTCTACATGGTACGAGAGCCAAGGTTTACCACTCGACACCTGGGACAACCTGTAGTTTCGTACCCATTTTAGTCTCCGCTAGAGGGGTGTGTTAGAATCCCACATCGGCTCATGGGGTTTTGTTGTGGAAGTTTAGACCATATAGGATCGAGGTGCTTCAAATAAAATGTCAGAAAGATTTGATTTTTTTTTTGCCTTAAAAGAATCCCAGTAAGATATGATTTGGGGAGTTCCAAAGTCCACATCAGCTAGGCTTTGACCATTGATCCCCTTCTCTCCTACAGGGAAATAATCTAATGGGGATCCATATATTCTACATGATATCAGAGCCAAGGTCTACTACTACTACTCGACACCTGGGGGCAACCTGTACCCATCTAGCCCCCTCTTCAAACTAAGACATCTATACCCGTCTAGTTTTTCTTGGAGGGGGCATATGTTAGAATCCAACATCAGCCAGAATTGGACCATTTCTTCTCGATATATGTTGGTAATCTAACGGGTTTCCACATATTCTTGATGTAACGGTTTGATCTATTTGCCCTAAAAAAGAAACCCATCAAGATTTCTTGATTTTGGGACTCCCAAGTAAACTTACTGAACAACTTCAATGGCTATCGCTATCCGATTTCCGGGTATTTTGCGGTTAAACAGAAAGACAACACCTTCCCAACAATCTCAAATCCCCCCATTAACAAACCTTACCAAAATCAATCCCCATTTCACACAAACTTTCAAAAAAAGAAACAAGATTTCAAGAAAACCATAAACCAGGTTAGTAAACCATAGAACAAAAAACAAAACAAATGAAAGGTATACCTGCTACATTGCTGGCAGAATCTTTGCTTTTGGCCATTAATGGAAACCTGTGGAGTTTTGGAATGAACTTCACAGACCTTATGACGACGATGGTATTCCTTACAGTTACTAAGATCAGAGTTGCAGCCATCCACAAGACAAGAAGCCGCAGAAATGGAGGTATTATTAATGGGTCGAGCTCTCTTTGATGATCCAGAAGGTGATAACGCCATTTTTGAAGTTGAAGCTGAAGTGGTCTTCAAACTTGACTCATTCCCTGAGTCAATAACTTGTCCAAGCTTTAAATCCACAGAAAAATTCCCTTTAATCCCCTGCCCTCCATAACTACTCGACCCACCACTCGAATCAATGTTGGGAATTGTTCCTTGTTCGAATTCTGTGAAATCCCAAGAAGGTATCTTCAAATTCCAGTCCATAATCAAACCCTCCCTTTCACTTTCAAATACTTTTTCTTTAATATCTTTGACTCTGTCTTTTTGGGTCTTTACTTCTCTAAATCTTTTATCTATTTGCCTCTGAAATCCATCAAGAATGAAACAATATTCAGCCCATATTCAGCCTTCAAGTTGCAAAAGAACTGAATGGGGGAATCCATGGAGGCGGGGAAAAGATTGGAGATTAATTAAATGGGTAAGTACAAAAAAAGCATTCCAACTTCCCTAAAATAACTTTACAAACAGAAAACAAGAACCCCAGTTGAAATATATATGATATTTGATATATATATATATATATATATATAACTTCAAGAGAACCAGGTGTAGCTTTCCAATATAAGAACTACTAGTGAAAACATTTTAGAGAGAGAAAGTACTTACTTAGAGAGAAAGAGAGGACTGTTTGGAGCTTTACAGCCTTTCAAAGCCTGGCATGGAATCCATGAAAAAGAAATGGGTAAAGAGAGGAGTTTAAGTGTGGAAAAGAACAGAAAAATAGCCAAAAAAAAGTGGAGGTGGGGGTGTAGGATAATAACCTGTACTCCTCCTCTTGGACACTTCATCAAACCCCATTAAAGGGTTGATCTTGGATTTTGGAAAGAAACAAAAAGCATATTTTTTGATAGATAAATCAATAGCATTGGAACTTGAAACACTTGTGAAAACAGTGGGAATTGGGTACCAGAAAAACCCTAAAGAAAAGAATAAAAAAGAAAGAACTTAGAGTTACCTAAATGGAGAACTAAGAAAGACCCAATAGTAGGAAATCAATGGTGGTGGTGGATGGTGATGGTGGTGGTGGATGGTGGTGGTTGGTGGTGGATGGTGATGGTGGTGGTGGTGGGTCAGTCTTGTATGTGATATAATGGACTTTCTTTATTGAGGTGGATTCAGTGTTGTTTGATAAAGGAGGATGACAGGGACAAGGTGTCTCAAGAAAAAGAAAGTTTTCAAGTACAAATTACAAGATAGGGGAGGGGATGAAAATGGATGGATGGAGGGATTTTGCATTGTCCTCTTCATTTGTTGTTTTCTTGTAGTCTTGTGTTTCACATTTATTGGGCATGTTTTCTTTCTTTTGGGCATGTATTTCATTTTTTTCTCTATATAAGTCTTTAACAGTTTCATATTTGACACGACGTCTGTTACAACAACCCATACACGTTGAAAACTGCTACGGTAAATAGTCAACAAGATTCATGACTTGAGATGCACGACACAAGGTTGATATACTATCTGACCCTCACAGTCACCCTACAAAAAGAACATATATGAAATGTTACAAAAATTGTTACATACATAGACTATATCTTGATCTGCAATTCTGCATATCGCTAGTAAATCGTAATCGTAGTAAGTTTTGTCAATCATTAAAAAACCAATTATTATTTCAAATATCACTTTCGCAGCTCTTTCATTGACAAAATACGATGAGGTCAATGATAGGTCATGACGATCTTGAAATAATGTTTTAAAGAAGCTTGTGTCATCCCATAACTCGTCCAAACATCACCAATATCTTGTAACCACAAGGGTGGTGACCATTTTGTTTGGGCTTGGGCTCCAAAAGTAAAAAGAGACAGGATGTCTCGGGTTCGAATTTAATGAGAAATAAAAATCCTCTTGTGGCCACGGAGGTTTAAATGCAATGACTCTGAGCCACCCGCGAAGCGGGTGCTTGTTCTGGAATTAGTCGACTCACATAGCGGGTTGATTATCCAAGTTAATAAAAAAATCAACTATTATTGATTTTCTTACATTGTGTTCTTGAATTTGGAAAGAAAGAAAATGGAGAGAAAGAATAGAACGAAAATGAAAGAAATATTTTTTTATTTATGCTTTAAAAATGGAAGAAAAGAAAAGGGTAGAAATGTAAATGACACATTTTTTCATGTTCTTAAACGAAAAATAAAAGAAATTAAATATGTTATTTTTATAAATATATTTTTTATTTATTTTGATGGTATTAAAATAATGGGTAGTGTTGTAATTTTACTAAGGGGCCGTTTACTAAACATTTATCCGGTAAGTATTTACTGGACAATTTTCCTAACTGGATGTATATGGCAAGGGGCAATAATCTTACCCGGTAAGAGCGATGATAAGAATGGAAAGTCTTACCCGGCAAGTGAGGGTGACGACTCTTACCCGGGTAAGCGCTTACCAGGTAAATTGTTGCATAAGATACGTTTTGATATACTACAATCTTACCCAATAAAATAAATTTTAGTGTTGACTCTTAACGAGAAGCGTTTACCGGGTAAGCATTTAGATAACCATTTCCTTACCTCCATACTTTTCATCCTAATAAATAATTAGATAGAATATTTTAACTTATCATATAACTAATAAAATATTTAAAATATCATCTAATAAAAACAAAAATATGGAAGTTAAGGTGAAAATTAAATTTATATTGATAAAATTGAGTTTATGTACTCCATGAGCTTCATAGATAAAAATATGCATCAATATTCACTAATTAAATAAATATATTTATATTTTTTATTACAAAAATACCACTCTCATTCATTTTACAACCCTTCACTCCAATGCCACTCTTATCCTAACCCACAATATCCCCAAAATAATCACAAGGATGGTGTCTGATTGGTTTAAGTTTATGCTCCAAAGGTCAAAAATGTCTGGAGGTCTCAGGTTCAAATCCAAGGAAAAAAAAATCCCTTGTAGCCACGGGGGTTCAAATGAAATGACTAGGGGCCGTAAAGCAAGTAGTCACCGTGGGATTAGTCGGCTTGCATAGCGGATTGGATATCCAGATTAATTAAAAGAATAGTCCCCAAAAGTATATAGTAAATGATACATTTTTCTAAAGGAACCTTTAATAATTGAGCATTATGGGTAAATACTTTTGGTACTTTCTCAAATATCATCAATTTGCATTGAGGATAACTAATTTGATTGTTTTCTGATAGTAGTTTGTTTCGTAATATGTCCAAATCTTTTTTAAATTGTGAGTATTCATGTCATCTTGTGTGCATCTCGACTAATCTCATGGGCTTTGAAGAACAGCTAGGAGAATCACAGTGGCCTTGCAAGACTCGAAGCGATAACCTTTGAAAAGAATCCCCAAAGGCCCTTGTTGTCTGTTGAGCTAACTCCACAAGGTTAATATGTCTAAAACTTGATCTTTAGATGATTGTATTTTGAAACAGTTGAATTATGTAAGTAATACTTTGATGCTATATCTAATAACATTGTAACCGAAAATACTCGCTGAATAGATAATAAGATCAGGCAGTGAGATTTGCATCATCAAATATAAGATTTGTCCCTCTTGTATAACACGAATGATACCTTTGGAGCCCTTAATAGAATGAGATTGATGAGATACGTGTACGTTTGGATGGTTGATATGCAATATCGAGATGTGTTATTCGTTCAATAAATTAGAGATTGAACCCAACGAGAATTACACGAAACATATATCATGCTGAATCTAACATCTAGGACAAAGGGACATATATATATACAAGAATGATAACACAAATTAATAATTTCTTGTATCAGTTAGTTCTGGTTACTTAGATGGTAATGTTATGCTGATAAATACCGCTCATAACTTGTGATAACCAAGTTAAACTGGTGCTTGTTGTTGCACCAGGAGCCACCGGGGAAAAGAATAGAAGAAACGTTTGATTCCTCCATGCATGCTCCACTTGGCTCGAGGGGATACAGCTCAGTTGGTAGAGCTCCACTCTTGCAATTGGGTCCAAAAAAACAAAAACAAAAATGATTAGGGTTGGCCGAACTTTATGTATAACAATGAAGTCAATCGGCCGATTTCTTTGATCTTTTAAACAAGTATTATCACTCTGAAGGAGTTGTTGGCATTCATACGATTCGATTACGATTCAAGGCACGTACATTTGGAACATTTTAGTCTAGAAATTCAATTTCAAAATTTCAAACTTTAAAGACATTACAACACAAAGTTAGGGGTTGTTCGGTTGCGGCTTAATGGGCTGTATAAGCTATATGGCTTATTCGCACAACCATATCTAGCTGTTCTGTATGGGCTTATTCGGTCAGCCCATGACTGAATTGTTCAGCTAAATAACTTATGTCCTTCCTATTCAGCCTTCATTTTTCCTCAAATACCCCTCTCCCAACTTTTTCTCAAATACTCTCTGCCTCCATCCCTTGAAGAAAACCCACCTCCTCCATCCCTTAAAGCTCTCACCTCCTCCATCCCTTGAAACTCTACAGCACCTCCATTGGCTTCGTCGGATTCTTCCACAACACATAGGGTTTCGTTTGTTGCTCTTCTTCCACACTCCTCCGTCTGTTGCTCTCGCCACAACACACAGGGTTTCGTCTGTTGCTCTCGTTTCTTTCTCTTTCAGATCCACCAAGACGAAGAAGATAGCAATGACTGATTTTGGGTTTCGATCGATTCATCTTATGGTTTTTGATTTTGGGTTCAATCGATTTTGGGTTTCTTTCTCTCTCAGATCCACCAATACGAAGAACACAAGGTTCAATCGATTCATCTTATGGTTTTTTATTTTGGGTTTATGATTTTGGGTTTTTGATTTTGGTGGAATTCATCTTATGGTTTCTGATTTTGGTTTGGTTATGGAAAACAATCGATTTGTACAGTGGTTGAATCAGTGAATTGAATATTCAATGTAAGACAAAGGGTAAAATGGTCATTTATACCATTCAGACCGATTATTCAGGTTAACAACCGAACAACAACTTATTAAATATCATTGAGACAGATTTATCAATTCAGACAACTTTATCCATACAAGACTTAATGCAAAACGAACCGAACAGCCCCTTAGATGCTTTATTCCATGCAATACTATTGTTTTATCCGGCTGATTAACTTTTGTGTGTTTCACATGGATCATTAATATGGTTATTATTATTATTATTATTATTATTATTATTATTATTATTATTATTATTATTATTATTATTATTATTATTATTATTATTATTATTATTATTCCACTTCGTGTACAGTCACTGACTCCAAAATCCCAACAATTTGAAT